TACTTGAGCCAGAGCCATAATAGGAATTGCCCAAAGCTTTTTCATTACATCATCACCCAGCAAGGCTCAACCAAGCCTGGGACTCAGGACAGCCTGCAGAGTTGCTCATGCATGGCCTCATGGGAGTCTGACAACCAATCAGAACACAAGCTCAAATTCAAAAGCCCAGAGAGGGCATAAAACCCAGGAACTCTCAGCATCTCTTCCCTTTTTTTTGCCCAGGACCTCAAACCATGTGGTCCTGTCCATCATCAATAAACCTTCTTTCCAAGCAACTTCGATGAATCCAGTGTCTTTTCCCCCCACTTGGAACTGAACCCAGAAGGATATTTCTTCAAACAAAGCAAAGGGTAAAAGTTTGTTCTCCGAGTTTGTGGGCAGGAAACCAAACCAAACTTGGTAAACAAACCTTTATTCTCATCCTATACCTGAGCTATAGATATTCACCACTACTGCAGATAAGCAAAGGGCAACCTTGATATAGTGCCGAAGCACCAGGCCATGACCCAGGTGAAATCTAGACCCATATTAAGCAACCTAGAACTAAGGAGAAATTTCCTAACAGTGAGAACGATTAACCAGTGGAACAGAAGTTGCCTTCAGAAGTTGTGGGTGCTCCATCACTGAAGGGTTTTAAGAAGAGACTAGACAGCTGTGGTGGTGCAGTGGTTAGAGTGCAGTACTGCGGGCTACTTCTGCTGACTGCACATGTTTGCTAGTCGTCTCCGGTTCTAGGGGGCGGTGCTCATCTCCCTTTCTAAACCGAAGAGCCAGCGCTGTCCGAAGACGTCTCCGTGGTCATGTGGCTGGCATGACTAAATGCCGAAGGCGCATGGAGTGCTGTTCCCTTCCCACCAAAGGTGGTTCCTATTTTTCTACTTGCATTTTTACATGCTTTTGAATTTCTAGGTTGGCAGAAGCTGGGACAAGTAACGTGAGCGCACTCCATTACGTGGCGCTAGGGATTCGAACTGCCAAACCTTTGATCGACAAGCTCAGCATCTTAGCCGCTTACCTATATTCCCTTTTCTGAAGCCCAGCTGTTTTCCTCCCCAGCAGTAATGTGGAAGGTGATTTCTCTGTAAACTGTGCACATGCCCGCATGCTCAGTGAGCTGATTGTTAAAACTGGTAGGATCCCACCCATGGGATCTATGGATTTAAAAAGTGCTGAGACACTGTATGAAATTATAATTTCCTCCTCTTAAGCCCGAAGCCAGCCAGGTGATTTTGGGTCAGCATTGGGAAAGAGGCAATGGCCATCCACTTCCAAAAATCTTGCAACGAAAACTGCAGGGACTTGTCCAGAGGTGCCGTATTTTTCGGAGTATAAGATGCACCAAGGTTTTGAAGAAGCAAAATATAAAAAAAGTTTTTGCACTCCGCAAACCTCCCAAAAACGGCCTTTTTTTAAAAATAGCAATAGCAGTAGACTTATATACCGCTTCATAGGGCTTTCGGCCCTCTCTAAGCGGTTTACAGAGAGTCAGCATATTGCCCCCAACAATCTGGGTCCTCATTTTACCCACCTCGGAAGGATGGAAGGCTGAGTCAACCCTGAGCCGGTGAGATTTGAACCGCTGTACTGCTGATCTAGCAGTAGCCTGCAGTGCTGCATTTAACCACTGCGCCACCTCGGCTCTTTTTTGTGAAAACAGGCCCTTTTTTTCAAAAATAAGGGCATGAATAGCCTTTAGGAAACTTGTAGAGAGCTCCTGGGTGGTGGTGGAGAGGACAGCCCATTTTTTTGTCCAAAAAAGGGCATGGATAGCCTTTAGGAAGCTTATAGAGTGCTCCCGAGGGCGGGGGGGGGGGGCGAATGAGCAAACAACTGCCTGTTTTTCACTCATTTTTGCCCTCCCCATCCCCTAGGAGTACTCTGGAAGCCTCTTAAAAGCCATGCACGACCATTTTGGTGAAGGGGGCGGGATTGCGAGAGGCAAAAAATGCTGTATTCAGTGTATAAGACGCACCCAGATTTTCAGCGTCTATTTTTGAGGGGAAAAGGTCTTATACTCCAAAAAATACGGTAATTGCCAAGAGTCACCCCTGACTCAAAGGCATACACACCAGCAAAGAATAATCACAGGATTTGGAAGAGATCCACATAGTACATAACTAATGCTATACTACTAAGATAACTTAGCAAAGTAGCATTTTACCTGTAAACTTTGTATCTGAAGTGATATTTTTGGATTATGCCGGATGAGAGACTTCAGATAAGATCCCCAAGGAAATCTATATATGAAGATGCTACACTTTTGTTATCAAAACACAAACTATCTACTAACTTACAACAGTTGGTTTCGTCTGATTTGTCGAGGCAGTCAGGATCACCGTCGCAGATCCAATCCATGGCTATGCATCTCCCATCTCCACACTGATATTGAGTCACGACATTACAATCTTTAATAGATAACATCGACAAACAGAGACAATATTTCTTCGTTACTTAGTAGAAAAACTGGCTAGCAGGATGCTGACTTAAGAAATTCTTTTCTTCTGTTATCCACACGGATGTACAGTAAGTGTAATCATTAAGAACATTGACTGGAATTCAGTGGGCCATTTTAGCTAATTTTCTGATTATATTCCAGATTCAACAGGAGTGGTGCAATGGCCAGGAGGGGGAGCTCTCGCCCTCACAATCCGGAGGCTGTGAGTTCGAATCCTAGGTAGAGGCAGATATTTCTCTCTCTGGGCACCACGAGAATAAATCTGCTGAATATAGTTCTGCATTGGCAACGGGAAGGGCATCCGGCCAGTAAACAGCACCATTCAGTTGCCCAGACCTTACAAGGGATTATGGGGTTGTTAAAAGATGATGATGATGATGATGATGATGATGATGATGATGATGATGATGATGATGATGATGATAATTCCAGATTCAACAGAATATGAAAATACATTTTCCAACCTCAGCAATATCTTATTTTCAAAGTTGCTGATTTTTTCCCCTAAAATTATTTTTTTTTAAAGTGGTCCTTATTATCTTTAAGAGCATCTTTCATGCTTGACAATCTGTTCCTTGAAAAACAAGCTGTATGAAAACCCTACAGTACAGTCTGAAATACAGTGGCACTTTTAAAAGCAAGCAATGCATCATTCATCAAAAGTTAGTACTCATTGGAAATAGGGGGAATTCAAGTACTCCTACTTGTTTTCTCTCCTATACCCATGATGGTGAACTTATGGCACGCGTGCCACAGGTGGCATGAGGAACCATTTCTGAACTTCCAGTAGGCCTGTTGAGCCTGTTTTTCGCCATCCACAAGCTCCGGAGACTTTCCTAAAGCCTGGG